CCACAAACATGGAGACTACATGTCGATGTTTTACATGTTATACATGTCGATTCACTTCACCGGGATGAAAAATCACTCCAACTGAAACTCACGCGTTTATTCCTCATGGGTCCAGTCAACCAGTGCACCCAGTTCTTTTCAAGAGATTCGCATCCAAAAAGGTCCAAGCCCGGGAGTGGAGATCCACTTTAGCACGCCACGTGTTCGCCAGGACGTGCTGAAGAGCCACCTTCCCCACTCCAGATGCCTTGGGACCCGAGTTTGGTGAACTTGTAGAGACGCCCGGTCTGCGCTTCCGGAGAACCTCTGGACGCGGCGAACAGCGCGAGAAGAACGTATTAGACCTGTCAGTGGAGTTAGAAGACCCCAGGTCAAGAATTTGAAGATTGATTTGTTAGATTTATCATTTCGGAGCTCCAAGTTCAATGCAAGACTCGCAGAAACATGTAAAATTGTATAACATGTAATCAAACACGATTTAAATCACTTTGACTGTAATCACTGTCGCTGCGAAACCTCCGGGCCACCAGGTCTACAACTGCCGGGCACTCAGTACACGGTTCGAAGCGACATTCGCTCCCCAAGCGTCACGTCGCGCCACGGGGGAGACTCCGGAAAGGACTTCACGAGTAGTTTTGCAGGGATTTAGTGTCTTAGAAAGGCACTCACATAAGAACAAAAAATGGAACTTGAAGTGCGGGGCAAAAACGATGGCAAGTGGTGTTGTTTCGTGGAAGACATGACACGGTGCCGTTGTCGCCAGTTTGGCCGTCCATGTTGACCACCTTTTTGGATGCTGACCTGACTGTACATAGTTTCTACACCAAGTTTGTAATATCAATCAACTCGCTTAAGAACCCCCCCCCCAAAAAAAAAACGAAGAAAGACGCCAAAACGACCTTAAAGACCTCAAGTTTCTGGAGGACCAAAACTGTTTCTCGCACCGTCCGTCGATCCGCGTCGTTTTTCCGTCCCTTTTTCCGCCGAGGTCGGAGTAGAGGAGCGATCCGATGACAAGGCGAGAGCGCCCGGGCGGTCGTTCTTCCGCCGGCTTCCGCCGGTCGTTGCTTGGTTTTTTGGTTGGTGTGAAGGACGGACGGTACTTGTTGGTGGAATTCGCAAGCGGGGAGGCCAACGGACTGACAAGGACCTGAGTCCTGAGTACATCATGTTTTTGTTTTTGCCTAATTAGTTCTGACTAGACCTGGTCGTGTTAGGGGTGAATACTGGAGATGACTATGACTCCCAAACTGGTCGCGTTATGACTGTGGTTGTGTGGGTCGGTGGTTCTCGAGGTTCCATCACATTCCATCACATTCTATTTGCGGGGGAGACAAGAATAACGCCAGCCGCGCCCAACAAATCACGTACTTGAACTTTAATCTCGATCCCTGGCAGATGCTTGCTTGAAGTCCAGAAGAACCTCAAGAAGAAACCTGGAAAGACATGTTGGCCCTGGCATGCCCCGGCAAAAAGGGAGCTTTAATTGAACACCCCACGCAGCCGGTGGTTGTCCCATGTGCGTTGTCTCATGGCACGTCCGCACGGTCCGCGGTGGGGCACCATTTCGACTGGGCCGAGGCATCAATCGGTGAGACTGGCAGTGTTTGGAGCTCAGTGGAGAGACTGCGCCAGCTCGATCTTGCCACAGATACCGATATGGGATATGTTATTTTTTTCAGAAGGAACTGGCTCCCCCAAGATCCCTTGGTATTTGATCAATCAGGATGCCGTTTGTCATTGTCACTGGCCCAGGTCCTTTGGGATTTTTCGGGGAACAGGAACCAGCCAATCGCATCCCCCCTTATGTCGCGGTGCCTTTGGACCCAGATTGGTCAAGCCAAAATGCCTCCGGTACAGCATCTGTGGTGGTCACATCTCTTTGCTGCACAGGTCTACTGTGCAGCTCAAGGAGATGGTCGGGCAACTCCCAATTAGGGCCCCCTCTCGGACTCTAGGGACCTCGGGGCCGCGGCATGGCGCCGGGGCAGGTGGATACCGTGTCACGAGGGCCGCGCTCGTCCCTGAAAATCGCCTGGATCATGAACATGGATAGCTGCTGTGTAGCGATCAACAAGCATGCCTCCTTCAAAAGGGCTTCAGAGTTGTTTGTTTGCATTTCAAAACACTTCCAATTCCGTGTGGTTTTGGGCTTCTCCAATTGCTCGGAGCACTCCACCCAGGTGAGCCCCCCCAGATCCTGCCTCGTGGGCGTGCCTTGGCGAAACAAGAGAGTTCAATCGGTAAAGACAACATGTCGACATCGACGTACCTATATATATTATATATTTGTAATATATATTTATATATATTGAACGCCGCATAACACATATAATATACCAGGGCCCCCTGTGTGGGGTGTTTAATTATAGCTCTTTAGAGGTTAAGAGGTATCAATTAACCACCCCAAAACGGGGCCCTAGTATGTATAATATATAATATGTGGCCTTTGAAGGTGCGAAGAGGAGCCCAGCTTGCTGTCCTTGGCTGCCTGTGCGCATAGTGCATCGTGCATGTGCACACGCGTGTGCGTTTGTGTGTGTGGTTTGTTTCGTGGTACTTGTAGCCTCTTGAGTGACCAAGAAAAAACACGGTTAAACAACACGGCACGTAAAGAAGTCACAGGCCTAATACTAATTTCTGACACACTTCAGGTGATCGCACCTTTTTATGCTTTTCTCGTCCTGCCATCGGACGATCCACTCGCCATGGGTGCCACCAGCCAGCGCTGTGTGGTTGCACGATGAAGCGGAAAATCCGCAGAGGATCTGGACAGGACTGAGCTGCTTGGCGGACCTTCCCCGACTCACCTTGTTACGTTCGTCGCTTCTTGTTACTAGCGATGCCCTTTGTTGTAGCGTCCTTGCTCCTAGTAGCGATGCCCTTGTTACACATTGCAAAGCCGTCCTTCACCAGGGGTCCGCCGATATTTTTGCCGTTTTCCTTTTTGCTAAGCACCAGGTCGATGAGCTTTGCCATCATCAATATATCTAGGATAAAGTCTCATGGAAAGTCTTTTCGGTACAAGTTCGTCGAACATCCAGTTGACCGTGCTTCCACATGTGCGGACCGCGAGGCTGGTAGCGGAGGCACAGAACTCGCAGAGCAGTTGGACCGGAAACGGCCTTGATGGCACAAGCTTTGAGCTCCCAGTGGATGAGACGGCCACTGCAGCGAGACAGCAGTTAGTATAGCTCGATCATGAGTCCGAAGTGTTGGGGTGAAGCGCCTATCGCACATGACTGGTGCCTATTTTTGGGGGCTGTCAATATACTTTTTTGGGAGTCTTCGTCCCCTCCCTCAAAGACATGGAGTTCTGAAGGAAAAACAGCTGGAGGCTCAAACAAAGGCTAGATTCTGAACCAAAAGAGCTTTGGACAGTTTGTTTGTTCAGCAATCCCAACCTTAGAATGAGAGCCTCCAGTGGACTTTCAAAGGTTTTGACGCCGTCCAAGGGAGTTCTAAAACCACATGCAGCTCCATCAATCATGCTCCAACAAGAAGTCAGAGTCAACTTGCATGGGAAGCAGTTCATGAACTACCAACAAATTTGATGTTCAAGATTCACCTGATGATCTCGCTTGGTGTTCAAGGTCTTGGGCAAGTTCGGATTGAAACTCACCCTAATGAATCATGCGTCGGTTTCCAACGAACATGCATCATCCAAAAAGGAAGATCATCTTTAGAGCAATCACCACAAACGTCATGAAACTACATCATGGGCCTCCGAACGAACCTATACCCTCCTACCATCCTTCTCAGAGACTGGCGCTGTATTCGTATCTCGGAGCCACGAAGTCGGACTCTTGGCCTGCCAACTTCTTGTGCTTTCAAAATTGAGGGAACTTGATGAGGAGTGCGGGGAATGATGGAACTGATGCAGAACTTGTGTTGGTAGCGATACCAAATACTTTCGTGCAAGGTTCATATTTCAACTGTTGCACACGGACTTGCAATGACTTGCATTATGTTACTTTTTGGTATCAAAGTTTAGACTTTAATTGGACACTGGGTATGGCTTTGAGCCTGTTCAACTTCCCTCTTTTGACTCAGCATCTCATGAGGTGGGCGACCTCTCGAAGACTATCGACTATCGCACGATGAATCGGCGTGAAGGCTGGACAGGTTTGTGCGCTGGAGGCAGCGATTGGGTTCCGAAGGGTTCTCGCAGAGAGGAGGAGAGACCACATGCATGCAACAGTGACGGATGCAATCGCCTCTTTGACCTTCGGCAACGAGTTCAAATCAGAGCTTGGAAGGTGTCACCTTGCCAAGTAGCCTGCAGACATTGACCTTTGGCAAGGAGTTTAACCAGAGCTTGGAAGGTGTCACCTTGCCAAGCATCCTGTTTGATTTTCGGTCATAAATTCAACCAGAGCTTGGAAGGTGTCACCTTGCCCAGCAGCCTGCAGACTTTGACCTTCGGCTACAAGTTCAACCACAGCTTGGAAGGTGTGACCTTGCCAAGCAGCCTGCAGACATTGACCTTCGGCAAATACTTTGACCAGAGCTTGGAAGGTGTCACCTTGCCAAGCAGCCTGCAGACTTTGACCTTTG